CACCTTATTGAGGGAGGTGGAATGTTCACTAGATCTGGGGATCGAATTCTCAGTTGCTAACAATTAATAAAACTAACCTATTAATTATTGCTCTTGTAAAAAAAAGTATTTTTTTTAACAGCAAAGTATAAGTTAATTAATAACTGAGTATAAGGGGTACTCAAACCCGTTTACATAGCTAAATAGAAGCCTTTCAATGTTACTCCCATCTTTCAGTCCCTCCCTTCTAAATCTACTTTTTCCTCCCACAGTTAATAGAAAGACATGAAGCAGGGTTGGTTAACCAATCTAAAAGATTAAAGTAACATTTGGCTTTTCTAGCCTTAATCCATGCAAAAGAGCGCAATTGAATAAGTTCAAACAGTTTGACCCAGTTTACCTTCAAATTCTAGAAAATCTTTCCATTTCGGGCCATCCATATTGACCAAATAAATGAGTTCCATATGCAATCCCATCCATCTGAAATTCGTGAGCTTGTGGTCCATGCTCCAAAATTTTGAAAGATCTTCCAACAATCCTTGTGTAATGTGACAGTGATCCCCCACCAATCTGCACAAGCCTACCACAACCTTCTAGCTATACTACAATTCAAGAACAGATGGTTGGAGTCTTCATCCTCATTCTCACACAGATGGTTGGAGTCTTCATCCTCATTCTCACACAGAACACACTTTCTTTCTCCTGTATCTTTGACAATTCCTCTTTTGAGCAAGTTTATCTTGGTTGGAATTTTGTCCAACATTACTTTCCAGTTGAAAGCTGCAACTTTGCTTGGGAGAATCTTGCTCCATATTCTTTTGAAAAGTTCAGCCTCCTCCAGTTCTCTTCTTTGTTTTACTAACATCAAGTAAGCTGTTTTTGTTGAGTATTGACCACCGTTGCTGTGAATCCATTATCATTTGTCCAGTTGGCTAGGTGTGATTGTCACATTCTCAATCATCCTTTTAATTTCCTTTGCGTCCTCATCTTCCCACTCGAACAAAGTTCTTCTCCATGCAAGGTTCCATTTCCATGTGCCGTTGAAGTTTTGGCCCATTTGGTGACACTTATTTTCCTTCCCTGTTGATAAGAGATATAATCTAGGAAATTTATTAGCCAAGCAAACCTCCCCACACCACTCATCCCACCAAAAATTCCCCTCTTTCCCCTCTCCTATCTTCATCCTAAAGCCCGATGACAACCACCCCCCATTTGCCCCATCCCCCCCATTGAGGTTTTGTACGTCTCTCCACCATAGTGATCCTACATTTCTACCATCTCGCACCCAATCCAACCAATGCCCCCCATTCTGTCCATATTTCCCTTCCATGACACTCTTCCACAATCCCTTTTCTCTATTAGCAAGCCTTCCCCACCATTTTCCCATCAATGCCATATTAAATTTCCTCAAGTCCCTCACTCCTAGTCCTCCATACTTCTTTTGTTTACAAACCCTCTCCCATTTAACCCAATTGGTTTTTTTAAACTCTTCCCCCCTCCCCATAAAAAACATCTACAGATTTTGTCAAGAGAATAGAGTATACCTTTAGGTATTTGGTAGGCTGACATCATGAACACAGGTAAACTGGATAACACAGAGTTTATGCGCGTGATTTGACCTCCGAAAGATAAGTGTCTACCTTTCTAGCTTAAAAAAAAAAAAGTATTAAAAGAGTTGGTCTAACTTGTCATCTTAGTAGGTAGGTTAAAGTATAATAAATATATTTTTTATAATTAATTTATAAAAAAATAATAAAAATTAATTTTTATTTTAATGTTATTATCATATAAATAGTTTTAATTAATCAATGAATTAAATTTAAATTAATTTTTAATATTTTTTATATACATTAATTATAAAATAATGTATTATTGCACTATTATCCTTGTCTTTAAGACACATGATAAAAAATTTCATATTAAAAAAGATATATTTAAAATAATATTATAACAAATATTTTATAATTTAAATTATTTTAAATTATAAAAAAATTTCAGAGTTAAAATTTTTTTAAATTATAAAATATTAATTATAGGGAGGACACTCTTCTTATTAATTAGATAGTCTTTATTTTATAATTTTAATTGTAAAATAAAATATGCATAATATTATATGTTATTGTATATTATAATTATGATGTATTAATTTATAATTAATTTTTTAAACATTTAAAAAAAATTCATCTGTTGTATTATAATAGTGCAATTAATGGCTGAGTTACAAGGAAGATAGATAAGATTTGCGCCTTCTTAATTAATTTGTGAATTGCATTTTACTAACTGGATCTATCATTTACATTACTTTATAATTTATACATAAAAGTATTTATTCGTTCGTAATAAATGAGAATTATGGATTTTTAGGTTGCTCGTATAAAAGTAGAGTTATATTACCTGCTTTACCTCTTTAGTAATTTATGGGTGTGATTACTTTATTTTCTAAAAAAGAAAAGTTCACCCGTAATATTTTGTTTAATTACTTTTTTAGTGAATGTTATTGTTAGCAATATTGTAAATATATTACTGTCGTATGATTATTTGTCATATCCGTGTTAAATACTGTATCTATCTTTTGGGTTTAGTTGGCTTGGTTTTCATGCTTTCCTGGAACTAATTCTACGGATTAGTTCTTGTCGTAAAGAAAATATCTATTAAACAGATACTATTAGAAAGCATAAAATTTGAGAATATGTGTTGATAACATTTGTTGAAAAATACTAATTTTTATGACATGACATTACAGTAAGTTTTATTAATTAATTTTTCTATAGATAAAATGTGTGATACTCACTTGATATTATATATAACTATTAGGGAGGTTTTATAATTAAAAAAAAAAATTTCAGTGAATCATTGTCGTAAGGATTTTTTAATTACTGTTAAGTTTTTTTAGATTAGTTTGCATGAAATCTCGAAACTAATATTTTCTCTAAATGATCTAAAAAGAGGGGGGAAAAAAAATTTGGAGATATTTATCCTTGGAAGAGCTAGTTTTGTGACATTACGTGAAGGCATGGACGACTAGGAGATTTCAGAAATAATTTAGGGCGAGGGTTTGTTGTTGTATAGGGGAAAATACAAACGACAGGTATAAAAGAGAGATTAACAAGAATATACAGATAATCAGGCACGTATGTATACTGACAAAGGCGTCTATTCTTCTACTCCAACTTGTGTTTGTTTTTCTTTGAAGAATATTAAAATATTAAATATTCCAAAATGGAATAACAAATAGGATTAAAATATTGTTTAATCTTTCCTTTCAGTTTTGATGGTTGCAGCCAACCATGGATGTTGTTGAGCTGATCAACCCATACAAATTTAAGATTGGATCCTTCTTCACCATCTCAAATTCCAGTCAGTAAAATAGAAAATAATTATTTTTTTTAGATATAACCATGAGTTTTTTTTTTTTTTTAAGATCTTGGGATATATATTCATGAGTTGGTTAAATATTTAGATAGAAAAATGCTTTTAATGTTTATGTACAAAATAATTCTTTTCGTTACAATATGTAAAAGCAAAAAGAATATATAACAGAAGCAGAGAGAACTAGTGAGAAAAACCACGTCTGGTAAAGTATAGATAACAGCAAAATATCATGATTTTCCCACATACATTTCATCAGAGAGAATACTACTGTAAAAGATTCTCTGTGCTTCCCAAATTATAACACAAAATTACGGTATAATTTTTTTTTTTTTTTAAATTTGTCTTCTGATATTTTATCTAGGTATCTGATGACTCAGTCAAAGGCTGTGACAAACATGAAATTTAAACACGAGACAAGGTTGTACAAAATAAATTTTTAGTTATTTACACAAAGATACTGTTATTAATTCACACTGTATATTAAATTGGATAATTTAAATTATTAAATAAAGAAAATTTTTTGACATTAAAAGTTGTTTTTTATTTAAAAATTTTTATTTTATAATTTAATATAATTTAAATTAAAAAATTATTTACATAATATCAATATTTATCAATATTTAGTTTTGTTCTTAAAGTTTCATAGTCCTATAATTCAAACAAGGCTATTTTAAATACCCAAGTATGAGACATAAAACAAACATTTCTTATGAAATGACAAAAATGGTATTGTTTACGAAAACTGAGCTTTCAAAATAACGTTGTATATACCACAATATTTTTAGTAAAATTTTGAGAGTCGAAATTACGTACTGTACACTTTTTCGAGATATATATATCAATCAACACTTTCCTGTTTTTTTATTTAGGATTTTTTAGGTTTTGAAAAATATGACACCACTGTTGGTTGTTATTTTCCTCTTATGACATTCAACAACTATCTTCCCATTTTGCTCGCTTGGCCACCTCATTATTCCTAACAAAGAAAATTTATTTTATGATTAAAAATACTATTATTTTATATTTCTTTCAAAAAAAAAAAAGAATTATGTCAAAAAACAGAGAAGGTATATTTTTAGGTTTAGTTTGAAAATGTTAATTTGTAATTGTTGTGGTTATTTTTTAATTTTTTTAATATCTTAAAAATATATGTGATATATTTAATATATTTAATATTTATTTGATTAATATTTTACATATTTTACATATTTTAAAATTAAAAAATATAAAAATTTAAATTTAAAATATTAAAAAAATTATCAAACAAAGTTTTAGTTTGTTTTGTAATTTATATTACATTAAATGATAAAATAAAAGTAATTTTTATTATCAAAAGATTTATTCTTATATAATGATTTAAGTTATACAAAGGAAATGCAATCCAAATTATTATTAATTTTTTTTAAGGAAGTTCCTTATGCCTTAAACCTGACTATCTTTCTTGTTTTCACACTTGAATTGGATCAGAAGCCACAACTCTGGCTTACTTTGACAAAAATGGCCTGATTCATCGCAAACACACACATGGTGCCCTGCCCCACCCTGATCTTTTTTGGGTGGAGCCACAAACAGAAGCAGCCTCTCTTTTAGAGAAGAAAAGGCTGGAGAAAAACATTTCCCTTTTATCCTCCTTTCTCTCCAACAGCAATGCAAAAAAAAACCCTAGTTTACCTCACCTCCATACAAAACTATTAGCCAAAACAACACAGTTTCTCAATTTCTTATTTTCATTTACTCGCTTCTCTTCTGCATCAGTCAATTTCATGATCCTTCTCTGGCTTGTAGTTCCCCTTTTGCCCAAAGACAAAGTAAAAGCATGCAAGCAATCCTCTGTCTTCTTTGCAGATCAGAGCTTTAAAGACAACATGGGTACTTTCTGATAGCTCTTCTTCCGGAAGATATATCTTTCTCTTTCTTTGTGTCTGTATTACCTCATGCTTTATTTTGTAGCTTCTTCTTAAATGAGTCTGTGTGAGTAAGCAAAAAGAGTTCTTCCCTCTGCAACTCTCCATATCTGTGTCTCATGGAATCTGGTAACAGTGGTAGTATGCAGTCTTCCAGTGGCGGCAGTGAAGAGTACGATTCACGCGCCGCCGCTGACTCAATCTCTGCTTTCTTGAACAATACGACATCCATCCAAAATCAACGGCAGCCACAGCAACCACCACCGCAACACCAGAATCATTCATCTCCATCCGTGTTTGACTCCCTATACTTTGATCCGTTATCAAGATCTCCACAAATTTCAACAAACCCAAATTCCCTCCTTAATCTTGATATGGTTTGGTCGAAGAGTCTAAGATCTGAGACTGATCTAGGCGGGTTCATGGCGGTCGCACCACCAACTCAGCAGTTGTTGACCAATCAACCGGGCCAAAACAGGGGTGGAGGAGGTGGTGGTGTTTTCTCTTCTGTACACATACCCCACGGAGTACCAGAAAAAGGTACAGTCTCAGGTTCAGTTTCGGGCACAGGTGACCAAATTACCAACAGCAACCAAAACATGGTTCGGAACCCAAAGAAGAGATCCAGAGCTTCTAGGCGTGCACCCACAACGGTTTTGACCACAGATACCACCAATTTCCGAGCCATGGTTCAGGAGTTTACTGGAATCCCTGCACCACCCTTCACATCCTCACCTTTTCCAAGAAGCAGGCTCGATCTATTTGGAACAGCATCTTCCATAAGATCAACAGCCCATTTGGACCCCTCACCTCCCTCTTATCTTTTGAGACCATTCGCTCAAAAAATCCAACCATCGCCATTTGTTTCTTCTTCTTCTTCCACTTCCTCAATGGTTGATGCCATAGCCGCTACAACCAGTGCTAACAACAATGGTACTTCTAGTTCAACTTCCATTAACTACCAACTTCCATCCGAGTTAGCCCTCCTAAAACAGCCTCAGAATCTTCTCCCAAACCCAGTTCTTAATTTCCAGTCCCTCCTTCAGCACCCTCCGAAATACCCACTTTCAAGTTCAGCCATTCTTGGAACCAAACTCCAAGGATCTCTTGACCTTCCATCAAATGACTCTCCCCTCAAAATAGGTCTTCTTGAAGAGCTTGGGCTAAGCCATGGCCATAGTGGCACAACTCTTGGCGGGCTCCAAAACATGGTATCTTCCGTCGACGGGGCGCTTCCGAGGAGCGACAACAGCAACAACCACCCTAGCTGGGGAGACGGAGGACCAGGATCCCATGAAAATCATCATGATCAAGGTCTGTTAAAGTCCATCAATGGGAACGGGAAACTCAGCTTCTCCGGTCCATCCTCGGATTTCCACGGCAATAAAGGGCCTGAAAATGTGGCTGCAAGAAGCGAAGGAATGGTGGAATCCTGGATATGCTCCTCAGATTAGGAAAATCGAATATGGTGGAAATCATGGTGAGTATATCACATGATGCATGAGAAAGATCGAATATCTTTTGTTCTCCATATTAACCATGACTTTTCAACATAATTAAAACACTGTTTTCTTCTTCTTCTTTATTTTCTTTTTTTTTTTCTCTCTTTTATTTATATGTAAATAATAAATTCTACTATTTTTTTTCTCTTTTATCTGTCACATTTATTACAACATTATTATCAGCATCATATACACAATACATGGATGAACCATATATATTTGTCCTTTAATTTTTTTTCTTTGAATTTTTATGTAATTCTAAAGATAATGTGAACGGGATAAAGGAAGAGCATGGAACCGTGTTCCTTCCTTCCTTCTTCCTCGTACTCTCTCTGTTTGCTTGATTTTCATGTTATCTGATGAAGTGATGAACGAAGCCAAGCCGAGCCAACGGCCTGGAGTTTTGTCGCATTTGTTCCATTTCCATCATATACTAGGAGTATCACTTTTTCTTTTCCATTTTTTTTTAATATTACTGTAGTAATTAATTTTCTAAAATTAATAATATGTTTTTATTGGCTTAAAAAAAAATTTGTGATGCATAGGAGTGATTGGTGGCGAGATTTGGGGAATTGTTAGCCGCCGCAATTTAATCTTTTATTACAATTCAAATGTCTTTTTGTGTCTCTGTCCCAGTCATTAATTGTTTTCACTTTCTTTTTCGTAATATTTTAATTAATTTGTTTTAATTTTTATAAGAATATATAAGTTTTTCTAGTTTCTAGACTATTGAATGAGAGGCTACTGTCTAATAATAAAGACTCACCCTATCCAGTTCAAAAAAAAAAAAAAGGGACTCACCCTATCCTTTGGTTTTTATTTTCATTTAGTTTTAGTAAATTTATTTTTTATTTAATAAAATTAATATATAAAATAATTTAGTAATAAAATTTTATATTCATTTTTAATTAATTATAATTTAAATAAATTTTTATCTAATATCTATTGTAATCATTTTTTAAAAATAAAAGTAAAATCAAAATAAGTGCATTAAATAATATCTTAAAAGAAAAATATAAGTTATTAAATTTAAACATTTGAAATTAAAAATTAAATCTATTAAAATTGAACAAATGAAGTACTTGTTTTTATACATTATATAATTATGGGTTATACAATAAAGAATAATATTTTCCTTTTTTACTCCCTACTTATCATAAAATTCAAAGTTAATATATCTGATTTATAATATAAATTCTTAATTATTTGAGATATTACATAATGGTTTAAACTTCTTTTTCTAAGAATATATAGATCACCTTTTCTATGGTGAATTTAGGATATCCATTATTTGTACAAAGACCACTGAAACTTCATTTCATTTCAGACGGGGTCCATATGACTACTGCAAACAATTAAAGGAGTTTTAATTCGTTCAAAATAAAAAAGAAAAATCTTTTTATATTATATTTTTTAAAAATATATTTGTAGAGCCAATTACGTAACTAATCTACTGCCAATTTATTTTTTTAATTCTTTTTGAAAGTTAAAAATTTTTATATTTGAGTTATGTGATATGTGATTAGTATAAACTTAGGAAGGTGAGAGAATTCCTTTTTATAGTTAAAAAATATATATTTTCGAAAAAAAGAGCCCAGGAGACACTAATGGTAAGGCTCCATTGCCTAATTTTTTGCATGTAATGTAATTGCCGCCGTCATCGTTTTGGGTTTGGACAATATATTATTGTTCTTGGACTTCGTTTTGTTTGGCCAAATTTTCTTGGCCTCTGATGTCCAAAGTACATGTACAACGTTATAATTTGCTATACCATCTTTGTTTCAGCTGCTTAATATTTTCTTTGGAAAGTTCTTAAAGATGTGAAACATACCTAACTTTTTCTACATATTTAATTTATGGTTAAGTTTTCATTCGTCAATTTTAAATTTTAAATTTTAAATCAACCCAATTTTCATCTAGATTATAAGCTATTTGACTAATGGGTGCTAACTGCTGATTAAATCATTTTTCTTTTTTCTTCTTTATTTTTTTTAAAAATGAATTTTGATTAAAACGTGAAACTCGGTCTCAAACTCTTGCAAATAACATGAAAGATTCTTAAAACAATTTTTTTTTTTTTTTTTGTTTAGATGGTCCGGATGTTATTAAACTAATTTATACACACTTTAAAACTAATTCTTTACCCATTGATACACACCCTCCACACTGGCATGCTATAGCCAATATAACTCTAAACCCAATTTACGTGATAATATATTTATCTCCTAAGGTTTAAGACTGCAAATCTAGCTTTTTAACAGTTGGCTACCACAAAATAAAGCAAATTAACACCCCCCCCCCCCCCCCTTTTTTTTTTTGAAGACATGCGCACTCTTTAATTTCCCGCCAAAGGTTATGAATCCACATGCAAAGCACATAAAGTTAACATTTTCCCACCTCTCAAAGCTCATAAAGCATACTCCTTCAAACTGTTATGATCATGAATCGGTCATATACACATCTAAAAAGTTAGCAATCTTTTTCATGTCATTCATTGATAGATGATCATGATCTTTTTCACTTCAATAATACAAACTTTCACCTTTGGTTTTAAAATTTGAATCATGAGAAAGAGAAAGATTCAAAATTTTTTGAATCACATATATCTGTTTGCTAGCTGAAATGGAGAGACACAGACACACCTATATATAATACCAAGGCATATGAAAACAAACCATAGGATTTAGGGAGACTTTAATAAAGGGGGATACCCTTTTGAACCCCATCTTTTTATAAAACAAAAAATCAAATAAAATCCAAATGATTAGCCATGGGATTTTTTAGGTCCATTCTGCTGTGGTATGAGCTAGCTGTTACATACTTGGTGGCCCATGCCCAGTGAATTGGCATAATACGCCTTCGCTCCTTGAGCAATGATGGCTGCCTCGGCCCACACCAGCCTTATTATGTCAAAGGCTGGCCAAGGCAACCACACTGGCAAGTGGCAACCAAAGGCATCTGATCTTCCTTTTAAAAAAAAAAAAAAAATACCCTACAAATTTGAGCCGGGAACTCAAAAAGAAGCATATATTCAAGTACCCAATACAGGAACAAGACAAACTTTTTGTATTTGTACAATAATTATGCCATATTCCTTAGTGTACCAATGTATTCTTTGATTACACAAATTAATGATTAAAATAATTCTTGTCTTTCTCTACCCTTCCGCCCTTTCCTTTCTCTCATCCTGATATTTTCATCTTTCTCTTGTTTCCTTATTTCCCCATTGCTGCCTCTATGCCCCCTCACTGTTAGGGTGGATGGCTAAATATAGGACCTTGATTGGTGCACATCCGGATCCAACACCCGGGTGTGCACCCTATATAAAAAAAAAAAAGTTGGACTGAGTAGTGATGGGCTCTTTTTTTTTTTCAATGAGGAGTGTGCACACCCGGGTGTTAACCCGGGAGTGTGCACACCCGCGTGTTAATCCGGGTGTGCACACATCATTTTCCCTAAATATAGGTGTTCTCTCCTTTTTCTTGTTAGGAGTTTCTTTTTTTTTTTTCCTTTTTTTTTTCTTTTTTGAGGTTTCTTTCTCTTTTTAAAAGTTTCTGTTTTGACTTTCTTGATATTTTTATAAAGATTCACTTCTATTTGAGAATAATAATAACTTAAACGTGATATTAATTACACTTAAATTAATTGTTGTGCTTATTTTTGTCTAAATAATTTATGTTAAAATGTAACTTAACTACTAAATCTAGAACTTGAATCTGACCTCAATATATAAGCATTAAATTATTTGATTTTAGATTTTTTTTTATATTTTATGAGAATAAAACCTCTAAAGTTTTACTCTATTCAGATTAGTCTTATAATCCTTATATTTTCACATATCAAAAAAATTTTATTTCTCATTAAACAATAGTCCTTGTCCCTTCATGCATTGCATTTCCCCCCCTTTTTTTATGAAGATATTTTGTGCCAAATCATTTGCAGGGGTTATTCAATGTGTTTCTTGTAGCACTTTTCAAGTGGTCCAAACTTAATAAAGTTATTAAACTAAAATCAGATTGCTTAAATAGGAACTAAATCATAATTAATAGTGCTTTACCAATTAATCTTTCTATATATGATTTTTCTTAAAAAAATATATATTAAGAATGGGGGGCAATAGGATCACGAGTTGTAGAGGAAGTGGAGACCACAAGATGTTTAGGGGGAATTAGTGGTCTTTGATTAAGACCTGATCTAGGTTATTAAGTAAAGTCTTAGTACTAGACTTGGATTTGACTTTTTAAACAATGAGAAATTAAGATATGTATTGATATGCTGCAATGTGTGCATAGTTTCAAACTTGTGAGGCAGCAGTAGTTAGCATACGCTAGTGGGTTACCAAACCCTGATTAATTGGGAGCATTGTCGGACTTCTTGATCAATCTAACTAATTTGTGCATCGACAGTTTTTATAACCACTTTTAATGGGATGATGGGGATGAGCTCGATATTGTTTTTTTTCCTTTTTTTTCTAAAGTTAGAGAAAAACGTACATAAAATTTAATTTTTCTGGTGGAATATTAATTTTACTAAGGGTCCTAATAATTAGAGCCAGGGACCATTTTCATTTTGGAGTACTGATCTGGTGACAGAATTGTTTATGCTCTTAATTACTGCATATGTTCAATGTTAGTAAGTTTAGGTTTTTTTTTTTATCTAACAAAATATATATGTAATAATTAATCATTTTGGAGTACTGATCTGGTGACAGAATTGTTTATGCTCTTAATTACTGCATATGTTCAATGTTAGTAAGTTTAGGTTTTTGTTTTTATCTAACAAAATATTTATGTAATAATTAATCAATAAAATTTAATATTTTTTTATTAATCACTATTTAAATAAGTTTTTTATTTAATATATGTTATAATTATTTTTAAAAAATAAAGATAAAATATAAATAAATATATTAAATGATGAGAAAAGTGCATATTAGTTTATTTTTTATAAAAAAAATAAAATTCTAACTTCAAAAATATGATTTTTCAATAAATAATTTTTAAAATTTACTGTTAAATTTAATATATATCATGCACATCAAATTTAAAAGTGAGTTAACATCTATAATTATAATAAATTTTATATAATCAATGAACTAGTTGACTTTTAAAAATATTCATTTTGATTTGATGTTTTTAAAATTGAGATTTTAATTATTTTAAAACTCAAAATTAATACACATTATTTTTTAAAATAATATCTTAAAAATAAAAATAAACAACTAAACTTAAATATCTCAAATTTACAATTAAGTTTATTAAAATAAATTTTTTATGGGTGTTTATTAAAATAAAATCAAATAGAAAAAGCACAAATTTACTATTCATTCTCTAATGGTTACGTGCAAAAATAATTGAT